TTTTTTGCTCCGATTGGCTCGAGTCGCCCACGTTTCCGCCACGTCTGATGGAGCAAATATGCTCACAGAACAGCTCGCAGGTCTGTCGATGTGCCCGGTACCGGTGGTTGGGGACCCTATGGGATTGCCGCTTTCTCTTTTCTTATACAGGAGATGCAAAAAGGCTGGTGGTTTTTTTTTGTTTTTTTTTTTTTTAATTACATCTGAAATCCATTTCACATCTCAGTTATTTTTAGACAAACTGTACTGCTTTGTTCAAGTAAAGTCATGCAGGCAAAGGATTTATGTGGATTTTTGCCATCGAAATCATATCATGTCATCAGAGATAAAGGCTGACATGTTCTGGGTGTTTTGCATTGGGCCTTGGAAAGACAGCACAAGTAAAACAATTATTTTTGTCATCCGCTGGAGGTGGAAATAGAGCACAATATTTTGATAGCGATAAATAACATGTTGGTTACACTCGGATGTTTCAAACTTTTCTTTGATAGTGGTCAATCATACAAACTGCGCATCTGTGCAACGACTCAACGTGCTAATTGGCCAGCAAGCATAAACAGGATAACGTCCATGGATGCCGTTCGAAGAAGAAGAAGAGGTTTCTCCTGAGAAAAAAATGATTCCATCGTCCGACTTGTCCTGAAAGTTCTCCTATTGTTCATCATTGTTTTTGGAAATTTGCCTCCTTGGGTTGCTAATCCGGATGGAACTAGGTGAGACTTAAAAAAAAAAAAAAAAAAATGTGGTCGAGCCCAGACCGGCAAGAAAAAAAAAAATGTGGTCGAGACCAGACCGGTAAGTTGGAAGTACTGCTTATAGATCCAAAGAGAAGGTTGAACCAGTCCAGCTGTAGTCCGTATCTGAGCATTGCGATGTAGAATTTAGCAGATTGTGCACGTTTTTGACTTCCCGTCACCACCACCAGCTAGGCAAAAAAAAAAAGAAAAAAGAAAATAAGCATTTTTTTTCCTAAAGATTTTTTTTTTCTTTTGAGTAACATTGTCCAAGAATGTTAACGCTTTTGTGGCAAGATGACATTTTTTTTTAATGCTACATTAAGGGAACGTGAATAGAATATAAACCAAGCAGGGCAGCGGAGGGCGCGGAGGTCTGCATTCCCGAGTTAATTGGTGGAGCCCGGGTTTCAAAGCAAACACAGCGAGGTGACATTTAGCTGTTTTTATATATATATATATTTTGTCTCCCTGATCTGAACATTCTCTGTATCATAAATATTTCTCTTGAAAAAATAGCCAAGTGGACGCTACCTCTGCGGGCTTCCTCCTCCTCCAGTTTCTTCTTCTCGTCCTCGATGGCCTTCATCTTGGCGTTGTACACCTCGGCCTGCTCGTTCCAGTGGGCGCGGTTGTTGTTGAGGCCGTCAAACATGGGCGTGATCTCCTTGTGGAAGCGGGAAAACTCCTGACAACATGGACGGAGGATTGACGTTTGAGTTCCAGTGGAGAGGACCGCCGCTCCCCCATCCCCACCACGACGCCTGTGCGGTCTTGTCCAAATACTTTTGTGATTGACAAATGGTTCGAGTTTTTTGTTTTGTTTTTTGAACAAGTGGCACCTTACCATGGGTAAAATGTTCAAATTCTGCATTGGGTGGGAGTGATGAGGCTCCCCGCGACTTTTTTGCGCAAATAGCTTTTCTGCCTTCTATCGCGGCCTTCTCGCTACACGACGCCACCGCCGCTAACGAACTCATTACCTTGTACACAAACGAGCACACAAAGTCAATGAAGCCGCACTGCATCTTGGGTAGCTGCTCGGCGCAGTTCCTGTCCATCATGGGCTGGAAATCACACAAAGAGCAATTTTGAGTGGGGAGCGAAAAACAAAAAGGCGGGCGGGGACAATTGGACACCTACAATCGGTTGTTGATCCAAAACGGATCTCTCCAAGTCTCCTTGTTCCCAGAATTCCGCGGCGACCATCAGTGCCACCTGGAAACGCAAACAAGAGTGACGCAGATGTCGGAAAAAACATCCTTTGCAAAATGTGATCGCGAGGGAAGCCCCGGCGCTATATGCATTGTGTGTATATATCAATGACAACACCAGATGACAAATACATCATTGGCGATGAGGACAGATGTTTTGTGAAAGCCGCGCTGCCCGTTTTCGGGATAAATTTCCTTTTTCTTCTCAGGCCACTTCCAGCGCGCACGTGCTCCGTGCTCTTTGTGCGCGTGTCGCATCGTCGTCTCCAGCCCCGGGATGGCATTTTATTGACGCGATCGACCAACGCGGGACGGGAGGCTGAGAAAGCCGCCCACCTTGCTCTGCACTTCCCACGGTTTGGTGATGGCGGACAGGTCGCAGCCGGTCATCATCATGGCCCTGGAGCGGCGAGAGCAGGGAGACGCGGATAGCCGGTCCAGATGGGGACGGGGAAAACATCCAATCAAATGACACATGAGGCGTGACAAAGAGAAACCTTACATGACGATCTCCTTTCTGATGGGGTTGTTGGATACGAAGGCCGTGGCCTCCTTTTCGTCCGTCATCGGCTCGGTGGCATTCACGATGTTTTGGAACATGGTTCTCTTTCTGCGGGGCGCACACGCTTGGAAAATGTTCATTGTGACACCGGGCGGGGCATTTGTGCATGAGGGCGACACTCAATATGTTGAAGATGACTCGAACATGTCAAGAATAAAACGATTCCTGCGCTGTATCATACTAATCAGAAAGAAAAAATGATAGCAGACTTGTTTTTGATTTCAAAAATGAAAGAACGGCTCCTGCCCAACTATGGCGCCGCTCAACCCCAACACCGCATTCCAAACATTGTGCCCCACCAATTCTGCCTAGCGACAAGCCACTTCTCCCGTAACGCACTTGAAGTAAAGCGCCAGATCCGTCGCGATGATGCAGACGTCAAACAAGTGCTGCACCGTCTCAAACTGGCGCTTCTGAAGGTTGCAGAAGATGTTCAAAGTCTGCAAAAGACGAAACAAAGCACTCGAAAAGGAACCAACGAGTGACGGGACGTCGGAAGCGAATTCCTCGCACCTCCTCGCCCATCAGGGTTTTGCTGTACTCCAAGTGGTGCCTCTCCATGATGGACGAGCC